TTGATCTTGTTATCGATTTTACCGATTTTGGAGACGAAGCCGTCGTTCACGTCAAGGATGAACCAGAGATTGGGGAGTTTCACCAAGATCCAGATTCAGATTCATCTGGTGCTGATGATGATGATGACTCGGATTCAGAGTAGTATAGGTTTTTTTTTTCTTTTTAATAAAAATTCCGAGGAAATTCCGAGGACCTGCAGGGTGGTCCTCAGAATTTCCTAGGAATATTGTCTTGTAAAAATCGGGTTTAGGGGTTTGACCTTAGGGTTTAATTCCCTCGGAATTCCCTAGGAATATTCCTAGGAAATTCCGAGGAAAACAATCATTTCGTCGGAAATTCCTAGGAATATTCCTAGGGAATTCCGACGGAATGATGATTTAGAATCAAAAACACCGATTTACGATTTCCACAAGACTGACATACGCCTTATTAGGTGTCTTGGATTAATGATGGGACAAGACATTGGTGTTGTACCAAGTAATAGACACTTTTCCGATTGTGTCAACGAGATCCACAAACAATAAGATAAACACTTCTACACTTTAATGAACGGAAAGGACAAGACTTGCACTCATTTCAATAATTTTGTGATTTCAACGTTTATTTGGCATCTATTGTCAATGTTACCCAAGGAAAAACTGCTAAATTATTGAAGGAATGGTCTAAAGCTTTAAATTTTGGATTTTGAAACCCTAAACTCTTGTTCCTCGGAATTTCCTAGGAATTTCCTCGGAATATTCCTAGGAAATTCCGAGGAAAAACATGACCAATAGGAAAACATGCAGAGCATATTCTCTGATTCTAGGGAATTCGGAGGGAATTCCGAGGAAATTTGGGATTCCGTCGGAATTCCCTCGGTAATTTTCATTAACCGGGAAACCAAACCGCCAAAAATTTTCGCGAAAAATCGAATCTCCGCGATTCAGACGGAATTCCGAGGGATTCATTTTCCCTCGGAATATTCGGGTTTTAAACCCGAGAGAGTTCTTCTTCTTCCCCATTCTCTCTTTCTCTCTTTTCTCTCTTCCTCCCTTGCGATTTTCCGGCGATTCCTCTCCTCCCTTGCGGTTTTCCGGCGAATCCCCTCCAAATCACCCTCTAGATCCGTTCCTAATCCCCATGTAAGTTCTAGATCCGATTTTCTTAGGTTTTTAGGGAATTTAGATTGTTAGGATTGAGATTAGATTGTTAGATTTAGATTGTTAGGTAGGTTTATTAGATTGTTAGGATTGAGATTNTTTTCCGGCGATTCCTCTCCTCCCTTGCGGTTTTCCGGCGAATCCCCTCCAAATCACCCTCTAGATCCGTTCCTAATCCCCATGTAAGTTCTAGATCCGATTTTCTTAGGTTTTTAGGGAATTTAGATTGTTAGGATTGAGATTAGATTGTTAGATTTAGATTGTTAGGTAGGTTTATTAGATTGTTAGGATTGAGATTGTTAGTTTAGGGTTGTTAGGTAGGTTTGTTAGATTGTTAGGATTTGATTTTGATTAGGTTTTAGGGAATTTGATTTAGATTAGGGTTTTAGAGAATTTGATTTTGATTAGGTTTTAGGAAATTTGCAATTACCAAAACGTTTTTGATATTAAAATATATATTTGCCATTTTTATAATTTATAAGTATGTTTAAAAGTAATTTATAATTTATAAATAAGTTATAATTTATAAGTATGTTTAAAAGTAGTTTCTTCCCTCGGAAATTTTCGTTGGAATTCCGACAAATGGTTCCATCGGAAAACTTCCTCGGAATGTCCTCGGAATATTGTCCGTCGGAATGTCCTCGGAATATTCCCAGGAAATTCCGACGAAAACTGCGATTCCGAGGAAAATTTTCCGAGGGACATTTTTTTCGGAATATCGTCGGAATCGCGTGATTCCGACGACATTCCGAGGAAATCGTCCCTAGGAATCGAGGTGTTTTCTTGTAGTGACAAGACGGTTCTGTTTCTTTGGCATTTTCATCCTCTATTTTGACCATTAACAACTCTAAAAATGTGGCTGTGGTCAACCTCTAGGGTCTGTCAAGAAACAGAGATTGGCTTCCACTGGTAAACAAACTATTTATGAAACTTGTGATCTGGAAAAGATCAAGAACCAGGACTCTTTAGTGTGTCCTAGATGCGTAGAAAAAGTATAAGACTTTCTGTCTATGTATAATGTTGCTTATTAGATAAAAAAAAAAACGTGGATACTTTCAGCTCACCAACAGGCGAGCTGGAATGAGATTATTGTTTTTGTTTTGCTTAGATGAGTTGATAATACCTTCATTTCATTATTTATACGGTTATGCTTTGAGTGAAAAAGTATATTTATAAAGCTTTAGGGCCACCATACATTTGGGTGAGTGCAGTGTAAACTTCTATTTTGATATGCGTACAAAGTATCTATTTTTTTGTTTCTATGATTTAAAATGAACTATATTTTTCTTAAACATTAAAAATGAACTATAATAATCCAAATTTATGTAGTTGAGTTTTTTTTTTGTGTTGGAGGAGGCGGTGAACATTTTCTTTTGGTTGAGTATCTGAGTTAAAAGGAGAACAATTGAAGATCCTTAAGGTCCGGCTTGAACTCTTTGGGAGGACTGGTTTGGCCTTTGATATAACCTCAATTGTTAGGATGTTGCTACATTGGGCATGAATTTCTGCTCCTCGAAGTTTGTGTGCATTGCCATATTAACAAGTTGGGAAATCTGTTATTGTACTTAACATTTTATAAGATGTCAGTGGATTTATGAAACTCTTTTTCATTCATATTAGTGTCCTAGATGTTTATGTTCATTTTCTTCTTGCATCCTGAAAGATTATTGATTTAGCTCTCTCTCCCTTTCTTGGGGTTATGACATAGATTTGAACGTCAGTTACAGTGAAAGTTCAGAAGATTTAGACTTCCGAATGTTCGTGAATATACATCTCATTGTTACCTGGCTGCACCTCAGGTCATCTCTCGACAGTAAAGATTTATATAACTTATAATTACTATCTGAAATACAAAAGAAAATTAACTTATCTAGGTATAAGAGATGAATCATGGAGGTGAACAATTAATAAAAGAGATGCACCGATATTCTTAGACAAAATCGTGTTACAAAACTGTTTATTTGGTGTAGGGAAATAACATTTTGGAGACTACATAATCGACAAACACGGAAAACAAAAAAATAACGAAGATAAATAGAAAAAGAAGAATAAGTTGGGTAATATAAATAATTCACAACCTAAGGCATTCTATATATGATAAAAATTACATATTTTACATTTTCTATATAATGTTTTATAATAGAAATAATCAACTAAAATGTGAATAAATTTTTTTATACATTAATCACGTGCAAGGCACGGGTCTCTATCTAGTTTGAACATAATTTGCTCATGAAACTCATTCCTCATAATAATAAAAGGGGAAAATCGCATAAAAAACCTTCAAAGTGAAACTTACTAGCACTTTAAACCTTGAAGTTTTTTCACTAGCACTTTAAACCTTTAAAGTGACATTTGTGTCACAAAAAAAACCTTGAACTAGAAAATCTGACCTGTTGAACAGGTAAAACAGGTTATCAGTTTTTTTTTTAAATAAAAATTTAATCAATAATAAAAAATTAATTAAATTTTCAAAAAAATAAAAAATCAGAACATAAAGAAAAATTTATAAAAAATTAATTTGAAATACCAAAAATTAAATAAAATTCCGAAAATTAAAAAACAAATTAAAGAAAATTCAAGATGCTAAACCGAATATAAATCCTGTGAACTGAATACAAATGTGAAGATAATACCAAAGAGGGTCTCTATGTCTGAGATATCTAGCAAGGATTGCCCCTAGAGGAAGTAAGAAACCCCATCCCAGTATCGCCATTACTCCATGTCTTGTCTTCTCCGCAGAAGCTGTCGTGCTTCTGGATGCCTCTCCATTAGCTGTATTGACCGAGAAAGAACATACATAAAAATAAGTATTACAGTATTCCCTGTTTTTAGCTAAGTCTAGGCTAGTGTATGGACGTTAGTGTTATAAAAGTTTGCATGTAAGATATTATGTTAGAGAGTTTTGTGTTAAAACATGTCATGTAAAACATCTACACACGGAAAACACTATCTATCAAAATATTTTGTAAATTAGAAATGCAAACGCAAAACAAGATTAAACGTTACCAAAAGTTTTCAAAAAACATTATGTTTTTTCTTGAAATGTAAACTCAACATTTTCATTACACATTAACATTAAAGTGCATTTTTATGTTGATGCATCTGTAATTGATAAGCTGAGCTAAACGCTAGAATCACTGCTCTACGAGGAACATAACTTTCTATGCTGAGGTGATATCGAAACAGAACTTAGGGACAAAGTTAGCTATAATTCTATATATTCATCGTGCTTTTTTGTTTGGTTTTCTACTTTCTAAGACTTACATTATTGTCGTTCAAACCTTTGCCGCCTCAGTTATTATAACCAATCACACAGACGCATGTAGCATTAGTTGTTTTGCATTTGTGTGCTCTTTCTTTGTTACAAGATTTTACTTTGTCGAGGTTTTTTCTTTACAAAATTGCATTTGTGTTAATAATGTTCATGTATTTAATTTTGTATGAAGAAATTTAATATATTTTTCATTTATAAACTATCAGTATAGATTAGTTATTCCACAATTATATTTTATTAGAGTGTAAATGTTATATGTTCTAGAAATGTTAACAACTTTTCATGTGATATAAAAGAGTAAAAAGACTAATAATATTGCCTACACTTTATAGTCATCAAGGGGATGTAGCTCATATGGTAGAGCGCTCGCTTCGCATGCGAGAGGCACGGGGTTCGATTCCCCGCATCTCCATTTTTCATCATTTTATCACCATTATGCTTCCTCCTTTTCTCTCTTTCCGCTTCTTCTCTACATGTAGATTGAAATACAGTGGATAACCATAAAATCCAGGCCTGATAACATCTTTGCATTGCTGTACGTGAATCCTGATTTTTATCGAATTGATAAACCAACTTCATGCTCCAAAAAGAATTTTGTCTATCGTCTTACAAAACTTATTCAAAAAACAATGTTAACTCGAACAACGAATAAAAGAAAACAATGAGAAAAGAGAGACAAAAGAACGTGTCATAAAGAAAACACTCTCTCTACTTGGACCAAGCAACTGCTTCAATATCTGTCTGGGCACTTCGGTACAGTTCCAGCCTCTTTGCAATCGAAGTCCTTCTCTGCTGAACCGCAGGATCCTCATCCAACAACTTCGACAGCTTACTCATCTGCCTCAACACCAAACCAGTTCAGATTCTTTTACACATGCATAGTTACTTATTTTTTTTCAATATGGTTATTTACTACCTCTTTCTGGCCAAGTTCAGTGAAGAAGATATCAAGAAGGCTTCGTTTCGCTTCACGGACTTGACAGTAAACGATGGATTTTGGAATAGAGTTTCTCAATCCAGCGCAGACCATGTTCACGTAAGACAGAACATTTGAACCGATTCTTCTGAGGTAAGCATCGTTGTACCTGTCGAATATCGAATGTGTTGGATTCCCTCCTTTCTCAGAATCTTGTGGGAGTTTCCTGAAAAACTCGACTGTTAAGTAACCAGACTCCATGTCCACTAGTAACAGAGTTGCTTTCCTGCTCTCGTCTCTCATTCGATCCAGTGAATCCACCGCTGCTCCTGATACTTCCACTCGCAGTGTTGGATATTGCTTCAGCTCCTGTTGTGAAAGAGATTTACCACATAATCATGAATCAATAGTGTTTTCATTGTTGTGTTTTGTGATTGTTGAGGAGAGATTTTTTCTTACAGAAGTTTCGCTGATGGATTTGTGGATAAGATCCTTGAGTATGGAATGGACCGCGTCAACAGCTGCTTCAGCTGGGCCTCTGATGGAGACTAAGCATGATTCTATGAGACGACGGTAACCTTGTTCAGGAGCTATGAGATGCGGTTGATATCCATCTGCTTCGGTGATCAGTTTACGTACATTGTCCATGGAGAGATGCTTGTCGAATTGCAGTCTTTTAATGGCAGCTGGGAACTGATTGTCGAAAACAGAGTTTACCTTTTCACCACCTGATCGTCTGTGCGGTTGTTAGTATTAATAATCATAACGACAAAAAGTTGCAATATCAACAATCCAGAGATCACTCACGTGCCGTCAAGATGTTCTTTGAATGTTTGATCAAAAGCACGACATATCTCCATGATCATATACAGCTTTCCCTGCACTCAAGAGAGTGAGTATTAAAATAAGAGAACCAAAAAATGAAAGATGAAAGTTACTTACACCAGCATCAGCTGCTACAGGTTTGCCAAGACGGCTAAGCTCTGTCTCTAACTCGGAGATAGTCTTTGTGATAAGAGACTGAAGTCCTGGAATTCTCGACTTGATAACAACTTCCAAATGCTGAAAAAGTTATAGCTTGTTTTAGAGAAGCAACCAAATCTTTTATCCATAGCTTGTTTCAAAGAAGAATTGGTATTTGTATACCTTGGAAAGCATCTTTCCTAAATATTCTGAACCCATTCTTTCAGTTAAATGACTGTACTCTGGGGTGCTCTTGAAATAATCTCGTTCACGCCGACGAGCAGCAATCATATCAACACTTTTATTGATGTCAGCTTGAGACCGGTTGACAACACCAACCCAAGGATACCTTAGTTTGTATCCCCTTCCTTCAAGTATCTGAAATCTCCAAACAGTTAGAAGACTTGGTGATTGTTCAATTTTCACTCATTTCTAATTAGAGATGAGTTGTTTACAGTTTAGAAGATATTCTTAACGCATGATATGTATTCATATCATATGAAAGTAAACTTACGTCAACCGCATTAGTTCCCTGGTCCATGAGATCAATTTTTGTTAAAACTCCAAAAGTCCTGTCTCCTGAAACAGCAACGAAGCAACCATTAAACAAAATGAATTAATTCATTCAAACTACTATCAGCACATATCAATTGTATGGAACATCGCCTTTCTTTGTTATGAATGATAAAACTATCCTCATCTTAGGTAGGCAGTGCCTACTAGGCACGACCGTTTAACTCAACCATATATACTATGCCCCAGTGAAAAAAAACAATATATACCATGTCCCAGTGCTTTAAAGCTCACAGTAGAGAGCTCAAAGTGAATTCAGAAAGCAGTTGTATAAAACATTAGAGAAAAAGAATTTGACACCTTTTGGATCAACTTCACGAGAGATCTTAATGGCATCAGACGTAGCGAGATCTTGATTTGCAGGGGAAATAGCTAGAATGATGCAATTGGGCTGTCAAAAGAAATGGTCATTCTTTGTTACTTTTCTGTAAAAACGCATAGATTCCGTAGATGATATATGCATCACTGATCTTTCAAATCAGAGTTACCTTCTCAATAAATGATCTGACCATGTTCTCGATGTCTTGAACAATGCTTTCAGGCTGACCATCTACACATCATTGGCACCAAATTTTCATTAATGTTTGTCAATAAACAGACTTTGTGTTGGGGGATGGGTCCACGATCATGAATAGACAAAGACTGTCTCACTTACCAACAGCTACCTTTGTAAGCCCAGGAAGATCAACCAGTGTCAAATTCACAACTGCGTACCATTTAAACAAATAAACATGAACATGTTTTAATCTATTCCTTAAGCAAAAATAGGAAGTAAAATGCTTCTATTACCATTAGGGGAGAAGATGCTGAGATGAATTGGGACCGTAGATATAACTTTGCTGCTGGGACCAGTTTCACGATCAGTCTCATCTGAGATCTCTTTCCTCACAGCAGCTACATACCAAGAAAGAAGCAAAAAACATCTCCAACATAAGAAAAACACATGAGAAGAATCTGTGCGCCAACATAGTCACAAGAAAGTAATACCAAAATCAGTGAACTTTTTCTTAGGAAGATGCATAAACTCTGCATACTCTTTGCCTTCATCAATTCTGTGAAGCTGCAGGACAAGTGGTCTACGTGTAACAATCCCTACATTGTTGTTCTAAGTTAATGCTAAATCAAGATTTAATTAAAATCATGCATAACGTTTTAAATCAGCGTTTACCTGCTCCACGAGGTAAAAAATCTTTCCCCACAACGCTCTCTAGCACTGAAGACTTTCCAGAACTCTACAAATTATTACGAAATTTCATCAATAACCAATTGAATCAATCCGCTTAGAGAATACACGATCAGATTTAATTAATGTCAAAATGATAATCACAAACTGAGATCGAAAAGCTAATCATCATAGGCATCATGATGAATCTGCGATCTAATCAACGAGATCAGATTATTTCTACGCCCTGAAGGCAATGCCTAAGATCTAAAGATCATCCATTCACAAATCATGTAAAATTAGATCAAACCTGACCGCCGACGACGGCAATGGCGGGCAATGAGTCCCAGAGAGTCGGGAGGGAGCTTCCCTCGCCGTGATCTCCCAGAGCCGTACAAGCTCTCTGTATCTTATTCACAAGAGAAATCAAACTCTCCATCTGAAATAAACGAAATCAATCTCCGATTTACTCAACGGCGGAATCAAAATCGTCCGATGCGATTGGGTCTCCGACGAGTCCGTACGATAAGGAGAAGAGAACGCAAACTTAACGACCGTTGAATTTTTCTTGAGGGAATATATAAGCAGTCTTTGGCGCAAATGTTAAAACACCCAAAATATCCCTTTTGAAAAGTCAAACCTAGAAAAGTGGCCTTAGTTGTAAAATTAAGATGGCACGGCTCGAATATCTGGATATTTAGAAGTATTTGTGATTTTATATATTTCGTCTGAATAATCAATTATCTGATTTATTTGGATCCGTAACCATCCGGATATTTGATATTCCAGATATCCAGAAAATTTTAAATTTTTATTGGATATCCGATTTGATAAAATAGTTAGAAATCGGTAAAAACTATGATATATCAATTATGAGTTTCAGAGGTTTTGGTTTTTATCTTTCTTTATGTATGAGTTTTAATTATCATCTCTTATTCAAAAAGCTACTAATTAAGTTTTGAAAGTAATTAAATGATCATTTTCTCCTTTGTGTTTGTGTTGCATTAATTTGATTAAATTTGTCGATTCAAAAAGCTAATCTCAAGTGATTTTGACCCACTTGATTAGACGATTCAGGTTTCTAAAGATTACTTGAACTTGTAGATTGGGCAGAGTTATCAAAATTTACGGTACACAATGTTAGTATCAATATTGATCTAGCGACATTTCTAATACCGGTTTGATCGGAGAAAAATTTCCAGCCTAATAAAGCAGAGTTACTTGTGTATTGTAAAGAACAAATGTATCAACTTGCATGACATTGCTGATTTTTTTGTGTGCAACTTCATCATGTACATGTTGTTAAACACCCTAGTTACGACAAAGGTGACGAAGATATGTTTGTCAAAGTTTCCAACGCCAAAGATGTCAATGATGATGAGAATTATGAAACAGATTGATTGACTGAACATTTTTCCTTAAATCGTGGTCATGTGGGTACATAATTATTTCAAGTAAATGTGTTTATTCTGAGGTATGATTAAGGACTACAGTAAAAAGATATCTTTTACTGAGAAACATACATTGGAAAATAATATGATTAATTTTAAAGACGTTTGAGTTAGAGTTGGTAAACAATATAACCATAAGCATGATATGAACTGAATGAACATGATAAATTTATATACCTTAGATAATGGATGTGTGGCATTATACAATTTTATGGGAAGAACTTTGAATGCAACAATCTAGATAAACCAATGCTCTAAAAAGTGTTTGAGTTGCTAGGATCTCTAAAACCAGATTGATTATCTTATATACTGCCTAGATAAATATAATATGATGATATAAATATTAATTTTTTGGTAAATTACAGGAATTAATATATTTTAATATAAAATCCTATGAAAATAAACAGTGTAAATAGTATTATTCATAAATCATGATATTAACATATATATATATATATATATATATTATTTATATTGTTTTGATTGGTAAACATCCAAACCGATTAACTAAAAATTTATATCTCCGATTAAATCATTCCAGACGTTTGCGTTGACTCAACGTATGCTTAGCGTCTAATGCTTTCTCAAACATTGGATAAATTCATCAATCATAATATTTTTAATCAAACTTATAAAAAAATGGAAATATCCGAATAATACATTTCTTTATTAAATCTTTAAATACTGCATATATGAGTAATTAATATTGCCTTCAGTATTATATATCACGCATCCGAACATGACTTCACACAGTCGTTTGCCTTCTTCACATCAATCTCTTTTTCAGCTTGTTACACATAAAAACAAAAACCACAAAGATATGTATATTAGGAAAAATCATATATTGTAAATCAATGTAAATATAAATTTATATAAATTTCTGATTATTGTTAAAACTTACTCGGATCTTGAGCAGAAGCACAACAAAGATTAACACAATCAATTTCGCGTTGTTGCCCACATTCCTTAATACATTTGGGGGGGGGGGGGTATTGGTTTAAGGATTTTAAAGGAATTGTAAAATTTTGAAAATCCATTGTTATTGGTTTCTGGATTTTATAAATTTTACCAAAATCCTTTGTTATTGGTTTAAAGACTTCTAAAGTCCATTCAAATCCTTTGTTATTCGTAAAGTTGAGATATTATTATTTTACTATTCTGTCAAAATCTATTGTTATTGGAAAGTGAATTTTTTATATTTTTACTCATAAGGTTAGATTTTGAAAATATCATCTATACTCATAATATTTTTGAAATTTGTCTAATAATTAAAACACATATGTACAGCATATTTGTCTACGTGACCACACCAAACAAACTCAATAAAGGTGAAACCAAACTCACATGATCTGTAAGTCATTATTATTTCCAGTTCCATATTTGATAAATCAACCTTTTGATTCTCAATAATGGTGAAGAAACCCAACTCACATTAAACAATCGTTTGATTCAATAACTGGTGTTTTAAAAAAAATCAATGAAAAAAAGACTGGTGTTTATCATTAAAGAAAACAAAGAACTGAAACACACCAAAACATAATATCAATAAAAATAATATGTCTCACCATCACCTTTGACTTTTATTTCCTACTGCATTGTTTCACATATTGGAAGCTATCATGTTTCTCCAATTATTATCATACTCTCGTTGTTGAGATTCAAGAGTACCTACCTCTTCAGCGCTTACTTCTCCATTTTGTTCTTCTTCTTCTTCATCGACCACTTATTCTAGAAAAGTATCTGATCGGCACTCTTTACGTAAAAAATTTATGCAATCCAGCTAACTCTGATTGTGTCTTAAAAGAGAAAGGAGGCGCAGATGTAAATATTACAAACCGAGATTTGAAGATACCAAATATTTTTTCGATCACATTTCTTAAAGACGCATGACGCAAACTGAATAACTCGTTCTGGTGACTGGGATCACGACCTTCACCCCTAAATTATTGTAGATGATACCGAGTACTTCTAAATGGAGCTAAAAGAATTCGACGGTTGGCAAACCCACAATCTGCTAAATAAAATTTTCCTGCAGAATTTAAACATCACAAAATCAGTTGTATATACATATAATATTCTCATAATATGAACTTAAATTTGTCATCCATACCTTCTGGAACTTCTAGTTTGCAGGTGCTTCTTGTTAGAGCATCACTTAATATTTTGAATCATGAGCTGAACCTTCCCACCCACTAAGAACATACATGAATTCTATATCAAAATTGCAATCCGCAAGAACATTCTGTGATACAAACCCTTTGTGATTACGATAGCTTGGCACATCACATTTTGGCACCATTGCAAATTGCAATATATGTGTGCCATCTATTGCTCCGATGCAATCCTGTAATGATAAAATTTAAGATGTCAAATAAAAATCATATTGCAAGAAATTTTATTAATAATAATTAGACAAAATCAGAACTATGTACCTTGAAGTAAGGATACAACCTTGTGCTCTCTCTTATCTTTGCACATGTTGTCACTCCAGGCTTTGCCATCAGGTCTGGTGCTAAAGTATTCAGTGATTTTAGAACCTTATGAAAGTTCTTACTAGTGGCAAATACTGATCTCTTGAGTGTGTCTATTGTGTAACAATATTTTGAACTCTGGCCAATAGTTAGGAGAAATGTAGCCACCATCTCTTCAACACATATATTGCGGGTATCTCGCAGACATGTTTTTACCCTAATAAGATCACACAGCTTGAGAAATGAGCTTGGATACATACGATATAAAGAGCGAAAGTGTTCCAGTTCTTCCTTCAATGCTTTCTGAATGTAATCATAGCCAATGTTCGTGTTTGGCCGACAAAGAGGACGTTCAATACAATTCACATGTGTCGTAGAGACTCTTGCTATATTATCCAGCATTAATAGCATGATATCCAAATCAGTTTTGTCATCTTCCATATTGGTTGCTTCTTCTTCTATGATCATTTCCATGACAACACACCTACATATATGTAATAATATTATTAGAGTAATGGTTTAAATATAAAGACATAACATCACGTGAAAACTTATGACTCTTGTAAACAAGTAAGACATGCAATTACAAATCATGACTTCACACAAAATAAAAGGCTGTTAAAACTAATCAAAAAGTATATACACACTGAAATGAGTAACCAACATTAGCGATAATCAAATCTAAATCCAATTTATTATAAATCAAGAAAATTCAAAACAAAGTCTCAAATATCAATAAAAACAAATCACTATAAAGATAAATAAAGATCACCTGTAGCTGAAGCAATGATCAGTTCAGCTAATATTGGTTTGTATCCAACCAAAACGTTCTTCTACAGACATATCTGCAAAAACATCTTTCATGTCCAAAGAATAGATAAGAGTCACAGCTTTAAACTTGGTATGCTGGTCCAAGCCAGTGATCTCTTTCATAGTATCCGAGACATTGTTTTTCTTTTTCTCAGCTTCCAATCTAAGTTTCTCCTCTCTTTTTTCAGCCTCTTTTTGTTGTCTCTCTTCTCTTTGTTGGATGATACTAAGGATCTTATTGCTCACAATGACCATGGAATCATTGTTATCATTCTTCAGCTCCTCGGAATTGTATCTTGCTTTAGTTCTAGCTCTCTTTCTTGGGATCAACTTTTCTGCATAACCTTTCAGATTTTGTTTAAAAACAGGAGACATGTCAATAACATCATCACTGTTTTCACAAAATATCAAGTTTTCTTTCACTTGCTTATCACCAATAAGGTTGGTACGAGCATCAGTAGTATCACTTAATCCAAGGGAATTGCCACCATTTGCAGTGGTACCATCAAATAATCTTCAGATCCTCAAATTGTTCATGTGAGTCATAGCGCATAAATTGGTGGTTTGGATGTGCCTGTCATTTTTCATAAACATACATAAGAAATACAATTATAATTTTTAATATATAAATTAAACTATAAAACAAAAAAATACCTTCAAATATGTTTTCCACACTTCTTCAGAAGCTGTAAACCTTTTTGTCTCATCATCCCATCCAAATCCAGAGCTGTTACGTTGAAGATCAACATAGCTGAGGTAGAGGTTCTTCAGAAACTTTATTCTGCTCTGGTAATGCTTATAGAACTTCTGACATCGATCTCTTTCATTAAGGACTGTTAGTATTCTATTTTCTACCGTTGCCTTGTTTATTAGACCACTAGAATCACGCCATCCCTATTTAATACCCTCCACAAGTAACTCAATCAGTACTTTCGTTTCTTCTAAATTCCACTGATTGTACTTATTAGTTTTTTCTTTGTCTCCCATTGTAATCTTCTTCAAGAACTGTTGTAGTTAGTAGAAATAATGAACATTTCGTATGATGATAATAACAAATAACTTTTTGGTAAGTTATAGAAATTAAGATATGTTTGTCAAAGTTTCCAACGCCAAAGATGTCGATGATGATGAGAATTATGAAACAGATTGACTGAACATTTTTCCTCAAATCATGATCATGTGGGTACATGATTATTTCAAGTGAATTTGTTTATTCTGAGGTACAATTATGATCAAGGATTACATAAAAAAGATATCTTTTACTGAAAAACATACATTGGAAAATAATATGATTAAATTAAAAAGACGTTAAGTTGAGCTAGAGTTGGTAAACAGTATAACCTTAAGCTTGATATGAACTGAATGAAACACAAAATAAATTTTCATACGTTAAATAATGGACGTGCGATATTATATAATTTTATGGAAAGAACTAAGAGTGCAACAATCAAGATAAATCAGTTCTCTAAAAAGTGTTTGAGACATTATGATCTCTAAAACCAGAGTGATTTTCTTATAAACCACCTAAATAACTATAATATGATGATAATAAAAAATAACTTTTTGGTAAGTTAAGGAATTAATATATTTTAATATAAAATCTTATGAAAATAAACAATATAAATAGTATTATTCACAAATCATGATATTAACATATATTATTTATATTGTTTTGATTGGTAAACATCTAAACCGATTAACTAATAATTTATACGTTCGATTAATCGTTTCAGACGTTAGCGCTGAGTCAAGTATGCTTAGCGCCTAATATTTTCTCGAACACTGGATAAATTCATCAATCATCATATTTTTTGTTCGATTTTTTTTAAAAATGTGAAATATCAAAATAATACATATATTTATTAAACCGTCAAATACTGCAAATATGATTAATTAATATTGCCTTCATTATTTTATATCACACACATCCTAACATGAATTCACACAGTCGATTGCCTTCTTCACGTCGATCTCTTTTTCTGCTTGTTACACATAAAAAAAAATCACAAAGATATGTATGTTAGGAGAAAATCATATCTGCTAAATGAATATAAATATAAATTTCTACAACATTTTCGATTATTGTTAAAACTTACTCGGATCTTGAGCAGAAACACAACGAAGATTAACACAATCGATTTCACGTTGTTGCCCACATTCTTTTGTACACTTAGCAAAACATCCGAATTTATATCGTGCTGGACCAACGATACATATATTAAAACAAATCTTGAAACATTTCTGAAATTTTTTGTTTATTTCTTCCGACTCAACTAGAAGGGTTCCGATCGTCAATATCATCACCATAAATACAACCGTTCTTTTCATCTCCATTGCTTTTGGAATACAATTCTTTTTGTTCTCAGAAAGGGGAGGGAGAAAATCCCCTATATATTATTTGAGAATCATTTAAAAAGTTGTAACCTTAAGTTTGTAAGAATTAAAAATAACCCCAATCCTATGCGGCATAGCTCTTTGGCTTCTATTTTCAAATCCCAAGGATTCTAGAGCATGTGATATAATGTATAGTTTAAAAATAATATTCTCTAGCAATATAATATTCCGTAGGCTATAGTTGGTCGCATATATCAAATATTTATTGTTTCACATGCTTTCCTTAAATAAAACCTACAGAATTACCTAATGTGATCAAAATATATATATGACAATTAATGATTTTAAACAATAAATATTTGATAACAATCTGTATACTTTTTTCATTTTGTTTATTTCTTTATTATTAAAATAAATTACACAATTACATTAATCATATAATAAAAATCTACATTTTTTTTTGTGTATGTTGTATTTCGAATTTTTCAAAATGAGTATAAATTACTAAAAATGTTAAAAGTCCCACATAAACTTTTAAGATCAAGGTTTTAATTTTTTTTCTATACTAAAATATAATGATTATAAGACCATATGAAGAAATAATTTTAGTTTATATATATTTAATATCATTTTAATAAACTATACATCGTATGAAAATACATACTTATATTTTGATATTTGCCTTGAACATATATTGAAAAGTTATATTTTAATTTTGAAATATGTCATTGTTTTCTTTTAAATGATTATAAATTATTGAAACTACTAAACATCTCACATTAAAAAAAATTGTTGGTGTAAAGTTTTGTTACACAAAAATGCAAATAATCATAAAATCATATGAGTAGAGACCTCATTTAATTAATATCCATATTAAAAGTGTGTTATATTACTATGTTTATATCATTTAAATCATTTATTAGGGTTTATAAAACATATATAAGAATAAAAATAACGGTTTATAAAGGTATGTAAATAATGTATAAATGTTTAGAAAAACAATTTATAAAGATTATATACCTTTATTAAGGCTTATAAAACAATTTATAAAAATATATAAAATTATTTGTAAGTCTATACCATTTATAAAGGCTTATAAAACAAGTTATTAAATCTATAAACCATTTATAAATATTTATAAGAAATTTATGAAAGATTATAAATAATGTTTTTTTTTTCTTTTATGCAGAGCCGCCGGTCTCTTGAAGGATGTCGTAACAAAGAAAAGCTTATGACACCTAAATAATGGGTTGTATGATAATTTATAAGGATTTATAAGGATATGTAAATAATTTATAAATGTTTATAAAAACAATTTATAAAGATTATACAACTTTATAAAACAATTTATAAAGATATGTAAAATTATTTGTAAGTCCATCCTATTTATAAAGGCTTATAAAACAATTTATTAAATCTATAAACTATTTATAAATGAGGATATTAAAATGGTAGCAAAACTCTTCAGTAATATAATAATAGAGAGTCTAAATTTCAAAAGCACCAAGAAACTAGCACTATAGCTACAGATCTTGGAACGGGAAACAAAGAAGATTC